ATGGCTGGCTTCCTTTCTTCTCTACTTTTCCACACATTAGAAATTAAACATATCAGATGGGCTCTTTGAGTGTGAAATCTCTATCACAATCAGCAGTTGATTGTTTTGGGGCTGCTAGTATCTTGATAGGAAAAGAGCTTTAACACTGAAGGCAAGCCAAAACCATGGGAAGAAGCAGATTTGGAGAAGAAAGAGAGGTAGAACTGCTGAAGATACTTCTGCTGTTACATGAATGATAGTCTCTCCTTTGAGCACCCAGCAGCAATTCTGAGATTGACATTATTGTTTCCTCTACTCCAGATTTCTAGATTTGCTTGGGTTATGGGTGTAGAAAAAAAACCAAATTAAAAACATCTTTTTAACCTGAGACAAAACATTTCCAGGAATTTCTAGGTCTGCCAGTATAACTCTTATGTTGGTTTCTGCAGCATATTGACCATAGAATCATACCAGAGGGTTTAGAGACTACTAGAGGGAAGAATTTAATCTATTCCCCAAATAATCAAATCCAGAACCATCAAGCCTTTAAATATGGAAGGCCAATGTACCCGTGACCAGTTGGACTGGACCAGAAAGATCATCTTACCCGGCCCGGCTTACTTATGGGAACGTATCTCCCTCTGTGAGCCATCTTGGAGATTAAGATCATCTGGGGAGGTCCTACTCTTCATCCCACCTCCTTCACAGGTGTGGTTGGTGGGGGACGAGAGTCAGGGCCTTTTCAGTGGTGGCCCCTCGGTTGTGGAACTCCGTCTCCAGTTACATCAGATCAGCCTCCTCCCTCCTGACCTTGAGGAAAAAACTGAAAAAGTGGATGTGGAACCAAGCTTTTGGATAATCTAGCAGTGCAATATTTGAATGTGAAATGGTGCAATGATAACTGGAACAGCCTGGACTATGATATTGGATTATGTGATTTTAATAATGTTAATGTTGAAATGTTTTTACCGGTTGTTTCAATGTACACATTTTTTTTTGCTGGATATGTGTTGTATGGTATCAAATTGTACCTTTATGTGTGGTGCTCTGAGTCTCCTTAGGAGTGAGAAGGGCAGGATATAAACATGGCAAATAAATAAATAAAAATAATAAATATCCAACACCCTGCTATACAGGAGTACAAAACTTCAGCATTAGTGGAAGATGCACATCCAACATGTGTTTAGAGACCAAAGATGGAGAGTCTATCATCCTTTGTTCCACTGTTAAACAGTTCTTAATGGTAAAAATGTTGCAAAGGGATCTCGCAGCACCTTTGAAACATAATGAAGTAGACACTATTTTGTGCTGCAAACTTCTCTCATCTAGCACTCATTCACTCTACACAATCCCAGTGCAATTATTCTATTTTCACTGTTGTTATGTTTAAATCAGGTGCACTATAGCTCTCTGGCAAAGCATTCCAGATACCAGATTCCAGGTACGAATGGAGGGCAAAAGCGAGAAATGTGCCAAGAGGAAGGTGCATCAAGCCAACCCTGACTGGTACCGCCTTCCATCTGGAAACCTGTGTCCTCACTGTGGGAGAACATGCAGATCAAGAATAGGATTCCACAACCACCTATCCTCTAGCTACAAGGGATCATCTAACATTCTAGATACCCTTCCAGTGCCAGTTCTAGGATACCACAAGAGGAAGCATGATAGATAAAAGTGGCATATTTGCTATTATGCCCCTTGACACAGATTGTGCCTTAAAGTGACCCAAAGGCTACGCTACCATAGGGTTTTCTTGGCAGGATTTGCTCCAAGGAGATTTGCCATTGATTTCCTATGAGGCTGAGAGAATGTGACGAGCGCTCAGTCACCTCTATTTCAGTGGACTGAGGCCTCATCTTCACTGTCACAGAATGCACTGTCACAGTTTAAGTGCATTCTATGGCAGTGTAGATTAATATAATCTAGTTTGATGCAGTTAAACTGCATTTTGAATCTGTATTCTATGGCAGTGCAGATGAGGCTTAAGACGCACACACATACAGTAGGGTTTAAGAACACAATTAGTTCTAAATAAACATATCAAGACTGCTCTGGTAATTTCAATATTTTTGACAGTGCTATTTCACTATGCAGACAGGGCAAGTTCCTGCTGCTAGTCCCAGCTTCTGCCAAACTAGCAGTTCGAAAACATGCAAATGAGAGTAGACCAATAGGTACCGCTTCTGCAGGAAGGTAATGGCACTCCACGCAGTCATTCTGATGTAGGAGGTGTTTATGGACATCGCTGGCTCTTCGCCTTAGAAATGGAGATGAGCACCACCCCCCAGAGTCGGACACGACAAGACTTAATGTCAGGGGAAATTTTTACCTTTACTTTTACTTCACTACAGTCCACCCTCCACCTCCATGGAATCCACCATCCATAGCTCTGAAATATTACCCACCTACCCTTAAAAAAACCGAAAAGTGGCAAAAACAAGTTTTGCTTTTCAAGCTGTGGATGGTTGAATCAGTGGATACAGAACCCACTAATAGGCCTAACCCTTTCCACTCTCCCTCCTCTCCTGGAGCTGCAGGCTTAAGAATCTATTTACCTATCAAATCTTCATACTAATAAATAATATTTTACTCGACAAAAAATGTTTGCCCACGCCTGATATATATAGTGGAAATGTAATAAATGAATAATAAAACAGTTCACCAATACTGGCTGTATCTTGACCTAAGCCTATACATGAATTTAATGTATGTTTCAAATACACCTTATTCACATGGCTGTTATTAAATCACATGATGTAAATGTGTATGATGAGGCTTATGTGTTTTTAACTCTTCTTTGGTTGTCAATTAAGTTTTTAAGTTTATATTGATGCTATTTATTTGTTTATTTGGATTTGTTTTGTTGCTCACTTTGTCATTGAATATTTGCCCTTTTTCCCCTTCTGGAAACCACCCTGAGTCCTTCTGAGGAGATAGGGCAGGTTACAAATATTTTACTTACCATATCAGAAGTAAACCGAGGGTACAGTTGTAATACATTTAAAAAAAAAAAACAGCAACAGTTGAAAAACTTGGCATTATACTCTCTGTCCTTTTGAGCTGGCCTCTGGTGTTGCTATAAGAAGGTCCTCCATTGTACATGTGGCAGGGCTCAGACTACATTGTAATAGGTGGTCTGTGGTTTGCTCCTCTCCACACACACGTCGTGGACTCCACTATGTGGTTCCAATCCAATAAGCCTTTATTGGCATATACATAGCAAAGAGGTATAAAATACAGTACAAATCATGGAAAAGGGAACTTAACTTTGTGGTCCCATTTCTTAAGGTTGGCTCTGCATCGTGTGGTGCCAGAGCACAGTCTGTTCAGCACCTTCCAAGTTGCCCAGTATTCTGTGTGCCCAGGAATGGAGTCTCATTTGGTGTGGCTTGAGGTTCCAGGTTTTAGCCTGCCACTTTTGGACTCTCTCTTGCTGAGGTGTTCCTGTGAGTATCTCTGTAGGTCAACGTTTCTCAATCTAGGGGTCAGGACCCCTGGGAGGGCATTGAGGGGGTATCAGAGGGGTCGCCAAAGACCATAAGAAAACACAGTATTTTCTGTTTGTCATGGGGATTCTGTGTGGAGAGTTTGGCCCAATTCTATCAAAATGCTCTTTGATTGTAGGCGAACTATAAATCTCAGCAACTACAACTCCCAAATGTCGAGGTCTCTTTTCTGCCAGGTCCACCAGTGTTCACATTTGAACAGTGGGTATTTGTGCCAAGTTTGGTCCAGATCCATCATTGTTTGAGTCCACAGTGCTCTCTAGAGGTAGGTGAACCAGAACTCAAGGTCAATGGCCACCAAACCTTTCCAGTATTTTATCTTGGTCATGAGAGTTCTGTGTGCCATGTTTGCAGAGGCGGCCCTAGGTAATTTTCAACAGTAAGCAAACAGTATTTTGCCCCCCCCCCCAACCAATCACTGATATATATTTTCTGTTCGTCGTGGGAGTTCTGTGTGCCATATTTGGTTGAATTCCATCATTGGTGGAGTTCAGAATGCTCTTTGATTTTAGGTGAACTATACACCCCAGTTGGCCACATCATGAGGAGACAGCAAAGCCTAGAGAATACAATTATGCTGGGGAAAGTGGAAGGCAAAAGGAAGAGGGGCCGACCAAGGGCAAGATGGATGGATGGCATCCTTGAAGTGACTGGACTGACCTTGAAGGAGCTGGGGGTGGTGACGGCCGACAGGGAGCTCTAGCGTGGACTGGTCCATGAGGTCACGAAGAGTCGGAGACGACTGAACGAATGAGCAGCAACATACAGCCCAGTAACTACAACTTGCATATGTCAAGGTCTATTTCCCCCCATGAGCGCCTCAAGAGCGCCCCTGGGCAAAATCAACTATGCTGCAAATGCTTACTTTGCGTAATGGGTTGAACCGCCCCTGCATGTTTGGTTCGATTACATTATTGGTGGAGTTCAGAATGCTCTTTGATTGTATGTGAACAATAAATCCCTGCAACTACAACTCCCAAATGATAAAATAAACCCCCCTCAACCCCACCAGTATTAAAATTTTGGGTATTTATGCTAAATTTGATCCAGTGAATGAAAATACATCCTGCATATCAGATATGTACATGACGAATTATAACAGTAGCAAAATTACAGTTATGAAGTAGCAACGAAAATATTGTTATGGTTGGGGGTCACCACAACATGAGGAACTGTAATAATAATAATAATAATAATAATAATAATAACTACTACTACTACTACTACTTTATTTTTATACCCCGCTAACCATCTCTCCTAGGGGACTCGGGGTGGTTTACAAGGGACATGCCCCAGATTACAATTAAAACATACATGTAAAACACGTTATTAAGGGGTCATGGCATTAGGAAGGTTGAGAACCACTGAAATAAATTATTATTGTTGTTGTTTAGCAGCGAAGGCGTAAAAAAGACCATGGTGGGACTCCCAACCCTGGTGCCTCCACAGCATTGAGCTGAGTTCAAGAGGTGCCAAACTGCACTCATGCTAGTGCAGATACCCCGTCCTGGTGTGCCTAGTTCACTCCGAGCCTTCAGAGGCATGCAACGGAGGTGGAGGGGGTTGCTTTGTTTTGGGAAACGTGTGAATGGGCCGTAACTTGAGCCAGTGTTGAAGGAGAGAGCGAGGCAAGGAGAGAGGGAGAGAAGGAGGGCGGCTGCCTGCCTGCCTGCTAGGCTCACTCCCTCTCGCTCTCTTTCTCTCCCGGCTTTCAGAGGAGCCTCTTCGGCGCTGGAGGCTGCTCAGGAGTAGGCTCTGCAAGGGGCCAAGCTGAGGAGGAGCCCCCAGCTCTGCTTCCCCGCCGGGAAAAGGGAGGGCAGCAGCGACAAAACCCGGCTTCTTCTTCCAGGACTTCTGGCGTGAGTCTCCAGGGGGGAGAGCGGTGGTGGGGCGGCTCTCCAGCGCGGGCTTCCCCTGCCTTGCCTTTGGGAGGCTTTGCAAGCCCTTTCGGTGCACTTATGAAGAAGGGGAAGGGGAAGAGGGTCGGGTTTGGGGTGCATGCTGCATGGGAACCGGGACATTTCTGACCGAGGGGTAACATTTTACCTTCTGTGCCGACACTGTATCTCTCCTGCTTGCTTTAGAGGGGGAATGAGTGTGTTTTAGGGTGCCTCTGCTACATTGGAATGAATGCATTTGCTCAATGCTTAAAAGGAAGTTCTTTGGATGGGCAAACTTCAGCCCTCCCTCCAGGTGTTTTGGACTCCAACTCCCACAATTCCTAACAGCCGGTAGGCTGTTAGGAATTGAGGGAGTTGGAGTCCAAAACACCTGGAGGGAGGGCTGAAGTTTGCCCATGCCTAATCTACATTGTAAAATTATTATTATTATTATTATTATTTTCTCAAAAGGGGCTAACCACACCATTACCAACCATACATATATCTTAGAAAATTTACAAGATCTAAATATTAAGATAGAATTAAACTTAGAAGTTTTAAACAATAGTGAAAATCACTAAAACTCTTATAACACTTTTAAAAGACTACACAACACACCCCGCCACTTTAAAGGGGAGCCAAACTGTGTTAAAAACCAATTGGAAGGCATACACCAACAAAAATCCCATATCCAAAATGTTTGTTTGGATCTTAGTGTGTATCTATATGTATTTATATACAAATACACATATATCTGGCCACATGACCTTGGAGGTGTCTATGGACAACGCTGGCTCTTCGGCTTAGAAATGGAGATGAGCACCACACCCCAGAGTCAGACATGACTGGACTTAATGTCAGGGAACAACCTTTACCTTTTACACATATATCTATATGCATATTTATCTATGTATGGGAGTTCCCAGTGGTGCAGATGGTTAAACTGCTGAGCTGCTGAACTTGCTGACCGAAAGATCAGCAGTTCAAATCTGGGGAGCGAGGTAAGCTCCCGCTCTTAGCCCAAGCTTCTGCTAACTTATTTATTTATTTACTACGCTTCAATACCGCCATTCTCAGCCCAAGGGCGACTCATGTTGGTTTACAAAACGGCACAGTTTGATGCCCATAACAGTACAAAAATAGTTTAAACATTAAAAACGTTTAACATAGATAAAAAAAATCATTACAATTAACATCAATAAACATAATAAAAAACCGTAAGTCCTCTGCATTTCGAACCTAGCAATTCGAAAACATGCAAACGTGAGTAGATCAATAGGTACCGCTTCCGTGGGAAGGTAACGGTGCTCCATGCAATCATGCTGGCCATGTGACCTTAGTGCAGTGATTCCCAACCTATGGGCCATGGCCCACTGGAGGCCTGCAAGACCTAAAATAAAGTCCACGGCAACACATTATTAAACATGGTTTTCTGCGGGCAAGCGGATGGTGACTACTGGATGGCATATGTTCTGTATCAGAAGCTGATGTAGTCTATCCAATGCAATTTTCTGAATCGGCACCCCAAATAACAAAACCAAATCTAAAGTTGACCAAACCTGATTCGTAACTCTTTTGGTACTAATGTTGGAAAGTAGTCTCTGGTCAAAGTGGTCCCTGGTCAAAAAAAGATTGGGAACCATTACCTTTGAGCAGGGGTCCACAAACTTTGTAAACAGGGGCCAGGTCACAGTCTCTCAAACTGTTGGAGGGCCGGATTGTAATTTGGAAAAAAAAAAGAATGAATTCCTATGCACATGGCACATATTTTATTTGCAGTGCAAAAACCCATTTAAAAACAATACAATAATTAAAATGAAGAACAACTTTAACAAATATAAACATTAGTATTTCAATAGAAAGTGTGGGGCTGTTTTTGGCTGATGAGATAGGATTGTTATTGTTGTTATGTGCTTTCAAGTCATTTCAGACTTAGGTTGACCCTAAGCGAGGGCCGGGTAAATGACCTTGGAGAGCCATATCCGGCCCCCGGGCCTTAGTTTGAGGACCCCTGTCTTAGAGGCATCAACGGACAATGCTGGATCTTTGGCTTAGAAATGGAGATGAGCACCACCCCCCAGAATCAGACACGACTAGACTTAATGTCAAAGGAAAACCTTAACCTTTATCTATCTATGAGATACAGTGGGCCCCTGATATCCAGAGGTATCCCTTCAGTAAATACAAAAACCCATAGCTACTCAAGTCCCATTTTACTATTCAAGGGTATCGTAAAATGGTGTCCCTTATTATAGAATTCAAGCTTTGCTTTCTGGGTTTTGCAAAACATATTTTCAAACCCATGGTTGGTTGAATCTATGGATACAGGATACAGGAGGTTGACTGTATCTCAAGACAAAATTAATGCATGTGTGTGTATACACACACATGTGTGTGTGGGTGTGTGTGTGCCTAAAGGTAATTTCATGCACAATATTTTTCAATAATTTTGTGCATGAAACAAAGTTTGTGTACATTGAACTAACAGAAAGCAAAACTGCCACTGTCTTAGCTACTCTTGTGGATGATTTGAGTATTTCAGATTTCTGGATAAGAGATACTCATCCTGTACATAGAGGTCTTCACTTTCTGCTCTGAATAAAAAAAGAGTACTCAAGGCAAAATTATGGGAGCCAAAGGATGGGGTATTTCAAAGTATTTTGAAAACTGAAGAGGGCACTTGTACCTTAATTTGTGTTGCAGAAGAGTGATTTTTAGTAGATGTTGGTGGTCAAGCACCCAAGTAGCAAGTTGGGTGCTTCAACACCTGTGGAAACTCCCTCTTCTACACAAATGTTAAAGGTACAAGTATCCCCTCCAGTGTTCATTCTGGCCATCCTATAATATGCCATACTACCTGCTCTTTTGGTTGAGGCCTTGAAGTGCACAGGTATAGCTTTATAAACCCAAAGGTCCTGCTTTTTCTGGAATGTTCTCCCCCTCCCATTGTATTTCTCTCCCGGTTGCCTAGAAATCAGAACATGTTTTTTAAAAATGAAAATAGCCACAGATTCTAACGTTCTAGCTAAGATTGCAGACTTGTGATTCCTGAGGCATTTATGTTGGTCAGTTGTGGTGAGATGGCATATATACATATACAATATGTATATTTATATGATACGTTGTGCAAGTCTATCTTTAAATGGTGGGACTGTGAAGAATATGATGAAAGTGAAAATATTATAGGTTCTAACAACTAGAAATTTTACTTAACTTTGCAGAGTTGCATGTGGACAGATATGATATACTTTTAGTGTCTCGTGCAATGTTCTCTTGGGGAGCTAGGGCGGAATATCAATTTATTTATTTATTTATTTATGTGACATATATGTGTGCAAACTCTTTGTCTTTCAGGGTTTATCTGAATTTTTTTTTTTGGGGGGGGGGGGGGGGGGGGGGCGGCGTGTGTGAATTATTGACAGAGATTGGGTACTGAGAGAGAACAACTCTTCCCAAACTGACTATAGCACAAAACTAGGGAATCAATGGCCTGACAATATGAATAACAAACAGATTTGGATGAGAATTTCCCAATTGCCATTGCACCAAATTATGGATCAGACATACTTGAGATGTGAGAGAAGAGCCTTCCAGCATTAGGCCAAACATCTATCTCTAGTCCACCATTTTGTTTTCCATTGTGCAAATTAACACAATTTCTGGAAAGGAAAATGACATAGCATCACTGTTTCCTCCCTGTATTTGGACTAGTTGTGGTCAACACAGGATTGGTACAGCTACTTTTACATTTTGTTTAAAAAAAACAAACAAACTCTATTCATTTGAAAAATTAAAGTGTAGTATCAAGGTGCTGGAGAGAACAAAATCCCATCAGTGTGAGGTGGAGACTACATAGTGAAAAAAATGGTAGGTGTGTGCACTTTGAGATGCTTGTTGACTTACAGCAACCTGATAGATTTCATAGGTAAGGAATACTAAGAGGGTTTGCCATTTCTTTTCTCTGAAATACATCCTTCAGCATCTGGGACTTCTTGGTGGTCTCCCAACCAAGGCTGACCCTGCTTAACTTCCAAGATCAGATGGAATCTGATGTCTTTAGGGTATGCCAGAGAGCAGAAATAGCATGTATGTGCACAAGCATCATGAGCCACTAATGTATCTTGTTGTATTTGTTTCTAATTTGAGAACAGGTGTCATATCCAAAAGGTACACAAACCACATGAAGGAATACTGTGCTCTTTTGGCCTGTGGTTGGTCAGTGCAGCATAGATTAGCCTTACAGTGTGGTGAGGTTGGAAAACTAAAAGCAGGAAAGAGTACTGCTTATGTCCTATTCGTAAAGGTCAAATATGTGATTATTAGAGTACAGTAATGGTACTGAGAGTTCTTTATCAAAGGCAGCACTGGCAGCATCTGCTAACTTAGTGTTCTAACAGGTGTTCTCCCTCTCTGTCTGCTTTAATTTTCCACTCTTGCTATGAAGATAAAGCACACTTGGTTGGGAACTTACACTATTGCCTTCACAAGGTCAGTACTTCATACAGTACACATTGCACCTGCATTGTTTTGCTTTTTTCTGCTCTGAAGAATAGAGCATTTAAATGGAAATAGTATTGATGCTTTCCTATTTGCCCTGTTCTGTCTTATGGACTACATTAGAGGCACAGCTTGGGAAAGTGACTGTTTTGGACTACAGTTCTCTCGATCCCACAATGAGCATGAACGTTGTCTTGCAGGAAATGTCGTCTAAAAAAGTAACTTTCCAGCATCTGATTTGGGCAAAGACTGGAGCATTCCTTATCTAGAATTCCAAAATCTTCCCTTGTCTACATGAGTGACTAGGATGGTGACACCTTTGCATTCTGACTGTTCAGAATATGCAAACTTTTTTTTCATGCACATAATGTAAAATATGTTGTATAAAATGACCTTCAACTATTTGCATAGTAGGGTGGCCAACTTTCGGCCATAAATTTAAAAGAGATTTAGTTGTGACAAACGTTACATATTTTTAGCGG